TGAGAATGCATTTAATATTATCTCAGTTGGCGTGTGAGAATGCATCTTTCTTTTATAACAGAGGAAGACTTTCAAGATGGCTATAATCACAATTACGCTCTTAATATTATCTCAGTTGGCGTGTGAGAATTCATCTTTCTTCTATAACATTCTGATTACAAACTGTAAATATAATTAAGAATAAAAATTACTTACTACCAGTATAAATTGCATGATATATAGTTTACTTTTTTACATTTCTTTGCATTGCATATTTTGTAACATCCAACTATTAATCAGAAGAATTCCAAATTCTATACCTCTTTCCAACTTCTAGCACTCGTTCAGAAGTATTCACGAAATATATGACATTTCAAGCCAAGAAATGTCCAGCTTATTTACATACATGTTTTCCAATGCATATGCATAGTAAAATTCAAACCGATACTCCCAAGACAACTTTGTGCCTCTTTCTCTTCAAAAATACAAGCTTATGCTAGCCTGATGGAAGAGTCAGGTAAATATATATGTCATTAATAATCTACAGTATTATCAAAATGTTTTATCTTTTCCTTTTTCTTACAAATGTTCAGCAATACTTTATTTACATTAATATTCATAAATATAATATATGACACCAAGAGAAAGACAAATCAAAGATAAGATGAAATCAAATGCATCAACATAACTCTCTGGAGAAACCTTAAAAGAAACCCCCACTACAATGTACTCTTTACGTAACACTAGAAAACTAAATATCACCTCAGAACTCAATGCTAGGACTAGTACAGACACTATTCCTACATCTTAGTGAATCCCTATATCTGTTTTAACTATCTAATAAAGCTCATTTAATGAAAGAAGAACTAGCTTTTTGGTCTATTAGAAAGTTGTTGTTTTTCAGTTGCAACCAGCTCTAGAATCGTCTTGGAATTATCTTTGTATATATCTATATTTACATTTCCAATAAATTGGTGAAAACTTGGCATGATGGACAGCATCTAGTGTAAAGAAAGTTCTGTTATCAACCTATGGAGCCATACACCCTCAATATACAGTTTAGATGCATTTGATGTATATATTCTACCTCCGGCCAAATTGAAAAGGAATCTATCAAGAGGAAGGGAAGTGTATTTATGTGATAAATAAGAGATAAGAAGGCATTCTTCTTTTGCCTTGCCTTTTCTAAAATTAATGTTTACTTGAAGAAAATTTGGATAGAGCAAGTAAGTTATAAAGGGCAATATATTGATGATATATACCCTGATTTTAATCTTTACTCTTCAAAATATTCTGATTTTCTTTATTCTGCAAACTTACACAGCTACTTCAAGACAAACACATAAACACACATTAGCCATCCCTAACCCCTGTGGACTAAAACACCTTTTAATCTGAAAAGAATGACTCATAAATAAATCTTCCCTTTACAACTTTAGCCAGCCTTTATGTATCTGATTTTCTTGACTTCACATTTCTTTTAACACAAGGGATTTAAGATTACTGTTCTCTCTTCAATCATGATCATTATTTTACTTCAAAGCTTCCTGGTATACATATTTTTGAATCAACGCCCATCTCAAATATATACATTTCACAGTCCATCCGTTTATCTATCTGTAATCATATATATACATTTTGCACGGTTAATTGATCCAACTATGTCAGTAATCAGTAATTTCACCAGAAAAAAACTAGTTCTACTTTACTAATGCACTGCTACCCATGCTCACTATGAGGAAAATTCTTCTAAGTCGAGGAATAAGGCGGTTCCCTAAGATTAGAAAGGGCCGTGCGACACCCGGTGCTCGCCTGGCAGCTCCTGCATCACTGCATCCACAATGTTGTCCACCTCTGCCATGGCCCCCAGGCCAACATCCCCACATGCCAGCCGTTTGCTTATCACACACACTTCTATGTAGCCCAATTCCTGGTGTGAGAGATGAGATAGAGAAAGGAAGTTATTAAATTTCAAAAAATATAGAGAAGCTTATAGACAGGATTTCTATTCATTACTAATATCCTGGTTTTCTCATCTTTACAATGAGTTACATTTTCTGCATATATCTTTGTACGTACGTCTATTTCTATTTGGACAACAGCAGCAATTGTCTGGGTTTGTTTCTAAAACCTATTTGTATTAGTATTGTGTGTTCTAGTGCCAATAGTTGTATATCTATGTCTGTGCCTGTCTGTCTTCGTCTCTGCATGTGTCCCCCACTCCTAAATCACATCTGACTATTCAAAATGCTATACTCTCACAGTCCTTACCTTAAGAATGGCTGTATGCTTCATGGTAAGAGGGTGGGAGTACATATGGGTGTTCATAGCTGGACAAAACACAAGTGGCCTCGAGACATCCCAAGCTCGCACAATACAGGTAAGCAGGTTGTCGCAGAGCCCCTGTGCCATCTTGGCCATGGTGTTGGCATCCAAGGGAGCAATCACAAGGACCTGTGCCCATTCTCGCAGCTGAATGTGGAGCACTGAGTCTCCACGCCCTTGCCAAGCAGACCACTCATCCTCATCCAGCACAAAGTTCAGGTCGGGGTACAATGACTTAAAGGCACTTTTATCGAGGTCCGTCGGTCTGAGAACCTTAGCAGGAGTTCTTGAACCACAGTGGCTACAAATTTCACTGTTAGTAATGTTCATTTCTGCACTGTCGTTACTCTTCTCCCCATTGCCCATGCTCTTGGCCACAGGTTTGAATGCACTTGCCCCCCCTACCCTGAGTGGCCGCTGCATGGCTACGGGGTCTACCTTGGCTTGGCATCGCAGGAAATGGCAGGCACGCTCCGTGGGCACAATGATGACACTAGCTCCACGTTCCTTGAGTCGCCGCGCCAGCTCGGGAACCTTGATAGCAGCCACACTCCCTGTGCAACCCAGGACGATGCGTGGCCCTCCTCGTGGTGCTGGTAGCCAGGACATCTTGAGCACAGCGCTAGAGAAAAACAAGCAGAATGAATATTGTGTAAATCAACACATGAAAAACTAGAAAACACAAAATGCAGTTATTTAAATTGTATTAATGTCTATAGACAGAGACATGTATAGCCATTTAATTTGAAAGTATCCTGGAATGCCAAATTTATATCTACTGTAGATATACTTATGAAATGAGAGATAGTGAGAGAGTGAGTGAGTGAGTGAGTAAGTGAGTGAGTGAGTGAGTGAGTGAGTGAGTGAGTGAGTGAGTGAGTGAGTGAGTGAGTGAGAGTGAGTGAGAGAGAGAGAGAGAGAGAGAGAGAGAGAGAGAGAGAGAGAGAGAGAGAGAGAGAGAGAGAGAGAGAGAAGAGAGAGAGAGAGAGAGAGAGAAGTGTGTGTGTGTGTTGTGTATGTGTGTGTGTGTGTGTGTGTGTGTGTGTGTGTGTGTGTGTGTGTGTGTGTGTGTGTGTGTGTGTGTGTGGTGTGTGTGTGTGTGTGTGTGTGTGTGTGTGTGTCCATATATGTATATGTATATATAAGTATAATGGATAATGGTTGAAACAAATAAATGTGCTAGACATCAAAGGTCATATAGCACTATAGTTGAGTAATGTGGCAAAAACAGTAAAAATGAGTTAACAATTAGGATAAAATGTGTTAAATGTCAAAGGTTAGAAAGTGTTATATAGGGGGAGCAAATGAATATTTAATGTTTAATGTTTGAAACAAATAAATATGCCAGACATCAAAGGTCATATAGTACTAAGGTAAAGTATTGTGTCGAAAAGGGTAAAGAGGAGTTCAAGATTACGATCAAATGTGTTAGATGTCAAAGATTAGAGAGCGTTTTGGGATAGTAGGGTAGTGAAAAGGGAAAAGACGGGAGTAAGTGAACAAGAGCAGAGATTAATAGAATTGGAAGGGTTAAGGGGGTAGGGCAATTGAGTGAATTAGTGTATCTCACTAGGGAAGATATAGAAACAATGTTCCAGGAAAACAGAGATGACTATTGGAAAAGTAGGAAAAGAATCCAGGGGGAGGGGGGGGGGGGTTAGATGTCAAAGATTAGAGGGTGTTATAGGAAAGTATGGTAGTGAAAAGGGAAAGAGGGAAGTAAATGAGGTAGAGCAGGGATTAGTAAAATGGGAAAGGTTAAGGGGGTAGAGCGATTGAATGAACTGCATTGTATTTGTGATTGGGGAAAGAATAGGGACACTGTTCAAGGAAAACAGGTGGCTGCTGGAAAAGCAGGAGGAGAAGAATCCGGGGGATGAGAAATGGGGACTGGGGAAGGTGGTGAAGTATCAGGAAGAATGTCTAGAGGGGAAGGGTCTGGAGAAGGACACTATTGTGATAGAGGGGATTCGTGTGAGTATTCAAGTGGGAGTGGTAGATAGGGTGGGGTATGTTGGGAGGGTGTTGGAGGAAGAAGGGTGGAGGGAACTTGAGGAAGAGGAAGATGGATATCTCCAAATACTTTATATGTAGAAGGAGTAGAATCAGAGGGATCGAGGGGGTGGATGAGGGAGCGGAGTCTTCCCTTGGGTTACCTTTAGGAAGTTTTGGATGTCTTCAAGGGTTTCAGGAGGGGTGTTGGGTGAAAAGGAGTGAGAAACAAATGTTCTTTTGTGAGGAGGAGAAGAGGAGATAGATATCTGAGGAGTAGAAGAAGAAGGTGTAAGAGAGGATGTAGTAGGAGGGTGTAGTGGAACGTTTAGGTTGCCTGGTGGGACAAATAAAGTAAGGAGGAGGGGCAGGTATTGGAGAAGTGGTAGAAATTGGAGTATCTGGATTTAGACTGGAAATCAAATTTGACTCGGGTATAGAGTGAGTAGAGGTAGGATGGTTTAGGGTATATGGAAGAGATACTGGGGGAGATGCAGAAACATCTTGTGAAGATGGTGGGGGAGTAGAGCAATAGACTGTTTTGGAATAAGTTGAGAGAGAAAAACCTCGTCATCATGCTTCTTGTCTGGCCTCACATAGTGTGAGGCCTAGTTTGAATCTGAGGACTGCTACCTCACATTCGAGCTTATAGGCAGGGCAGCTCCTATAAAATACATACTGGGCAGTAGGCTGTGGAAGGACAGTGTTTGGCTGGCTGGCCAAAATGCCAACCTTTCTGACATTGACAAGGAAGGAGTCGATATTGTCAGACATGATAAAACAATCCACCAATGTAAACATCATGGGAGAGGTCTTGTCTATGGAAGCTAATCTTGGCAATATTGACGTGAGACTTATGCCGGCCTCTGGGAGGAATAGAATAACACTGTACATGCACTGCATCATATTCACCAAGGCAGGAACGTAGGTTACTTTCACAGTTTGACCTGTCCTTGTCATACATGGGACAAGCATTTGGGGGAATAGAAACAGTTCAGTACAAGTATTAAGAGAGGGGTGAGGTTCGGCAGGAATGGGTTTGCCAGGAAGGTCAGTTAGGGTAGACAGCGCATGAGCTTGGGATTTAGATGTAACTGTGACAAGGTTTAGAATAGGGAAATGTGGGAGAAATCACAAAGAATCGATCCCACTTGGCTGGGCCAAAGAGAGCACTCAGATGGTTTGCAGAGGTAGAGGCAGTAGAAGGACAAGGGCGAGAAGAAGATTGAGTATGTATGTGTATAAAGATAGACAGATAGATAGAGATAGAGACAAATTGATAAACAGATAGATAGAATCATAGATAGATGGATTGACAGATGGATATTGATACACTACCACAATATCAAGAAAATAAAAAACTTGACATTTTGAGCTCGTCAAGTTTTTTTTTTTTATTACATAGAAGTAGGAACTCTTGACAAGTTCAGAACATGATGTTTTCATTCTGCTTATAATGTGACGATGTTTCATTTCATATTCATGTACACATCAGAATGTTTGTATTTTGGCATTAAAACTTGAATAAAATAAACAATTATGCTTTACCAACGGAACTAACTTCACTCTCAAGCCTAGTTTATCTTCCTTCACGATGACTCTACTTTGCTGCCGGCTAGATCAGAAAATCCAAGCTTACTCCACTCTTCCTTGGCCATTAGACCTTTCTCCATGCGGCAACCCAAGTAGTCACGGGATGCCTCTCTGCACTTCTCATTCTGGTTTTGGTTCTCACGTAAACATAACATGTACCTGCAAGAGAGTTGTCAACTATATGCTGGGAATGGGATGTTTGGATGTTGTGTGAATGGTGAAGGTGGGTCTCTCAAAATAAACAATTATGTTCTTTTTTAAGTCCTGTTCAGACAAGGGATATAGTATTAAATCTGAATAGTGGGAGGGGTCTCAAAATAAACACTTTTGTTCTTTTTGAAGTCTTGTTTGGACAAGAGATAAATTATTCATAGGCAATCCTTTGCTACCATATATAAAAACATAGTTTTATAATGCTGGTTTCTATTTCCCAAGATTTCCAGGGCCTGATTATCAAATATCTTAACTTTATACACAAAAGGTTTACTCATGCAATTAATCCATTTAGTTTCAAATATCACTACCTTTTAATTTTGTTTTTCAAAGTGCTGTGACTGAGCAATCAGGTCTTTTTTAATACAACTCAGGAAATTATCAATCATACATAAATTTAAGCTTAATGTGAGATCTGTGCAACTAATATATGGTGCATAAAATACAACAAAAAATGGAAGTCCCTGAAATCCACTTTTTGTGTCATTTAAGACAAGATACGCATGCACTGGAATTCTGATATAATGTTTCTGAACTCCTTAAAACAAAAGCTGTATATCCCAGTCATGTCATGAGGACAGCAAATACTGTAAGTCACAGTTATCAGATTAAATGTGGTAATCACAAGGTCATAGTAACCTTTAAGAGGAATCAGGAAGAGTCACCATGTAAAAAGAAAATTCAGTAAAAATCAACCGTGGATAAACCAAACACAAAATGGCATTTACTTTCAATAACAATACATATTCCTTTTATATATTATGCTTTGTAACTGCTTACAATGAAAACAAGGGATTTAATGAAAGGAATTATGATACATCCATAATACATCCTTATGAACAGTAATAGAAACGGTGAAACTACACATCATACCTCAACAAGCAAAAGGGAATTTTCTTTTCCTTTAAAAAAGATGAAAAAAATCCCAATATTCATTCAAATTCTAACCTTCTTTATTCATTACTCCATCATTCAATATTATAACTTTACCCTTAAGCTATAGTATCTTATCATAATATACTGTATCATCTCCGTCTAAGAATTCTAATATCCCACAGTTTTTACTTAGAAATCTGACCTAATATCAGTAAGGTCTTCATAATCATAAACATTAAAAAGCAACTGTCAGGCAGTTTCTGAAGTAGATATAAGAAAAAATCCTGGATTCCCCGCTGACATCTGAAAACTGCATATTTTGGAGAACTATGAAAATTTTGGAGAACAATGAAAATAACTAGTGATAAATAGAGTTTCATAAAATCACAATACATCAAGAGATTACCATAATACAGGTTATCTACCTCTCATAAACAAAATTTCATACCAAATTCACAGTTCTCACCAAGAGGATTAATAATTTGCTCTAGTAAAAAGTACTTAGATAATCATTTAGGATATCATCAATATGTAATGAGAGATGAAAGTATATATAGATTTCTATAGAAATATTTTTAAGCAGAACTAAAAGTTGAGTAATACCAAAACATTGATAAACACAGATGATTTCTCAAAGATCCCTAGTTCTGCATCTACTAGTTGTATTAAATATCAAAGAATATATATCCATTACCATATATATATATATATATATATATATATAATATATATATATATATATATATATATATATATATATATATATAATAATATATATAAGAAAGATGGAATAATGCACTGGCCGCATTTGATATGTATTTATAACCTCTCTGACAGGGATTTGAACCCCCACCGCCATTGCCAAGCATTCACAAGACGGCACTCTACCCACTGATACACGACCCAACAAAAGAAGTGTGCAGCTAGGAGTTTACTAGCATCCATAGACATTACCTATCTACTCATACGTAAGGATAGCGAGGTTTTACACACACTCTCCGTGAGCACTCGGGTATATAGAAAGAGCAGTTCAAATCCCAAATCAGATAACCTGAGGTGTATTCAATGAAAGATGGGTGTTAAATTAATAAAAAATGGGCCTATTTCACAAGCTAGCTGCAGTGAAACGTAAAGTACACTCTGCTCCAGGTAGGACTATATGAAACTGTATGAAAGGATAAAGACATAATTTTTCGTGTGTGAACAACCCAGGTATCCAAATGAAGTCTTTTCCCTGAATCAATTCTATACAAATGTGCTGTCTTTCTACATATCACTAGCAACTTGTTTTTTTTCTCTCTCTCTTTCTCTTTTTCTAATAATAACAATCAATCTATCTGTGTTTCAGTCTATAAACATCATCTTCTTTTCTTTAATCTCATCTTGGTTTAAAAGGAATTTGTATAGCTATAACCTAACTTCTCTTTTACTTCACAATTTAATCTAAGGCAATCTCTATTTTGCTGAGGGAATAAAATTCAAAACATTCAGATGAATTCTTTTTGAGTAATTTGGGTAATTTTTCACAGCTTTATGACACTAACATTTCAAAAGACATGAACCATACCTAGTAATATTTTGATTTCCTGTTTTACAATTTTTTTTTCCTCTCTTTCTTTTTGGTTGGCAGTGGGAGGATTCCTTCTGTTTTCTATAAATATCATTAACCCACTTATGATGGGAACTCCTGGCACCATACCAAACCATGCGCCAGGGATAAAATAGAAACATGGAAAATAAATTCATCCCAATCTGTATGTTCCTGGCTGCATAATAAACTGCTTTAAGACTACTTCTGAGGGGGCTTTTCCTCAGCCAGGGCCCAACTAGTGAATAACTGTTTGGCACACACAACCTAGAGCTGTCTTGATAATATAATATGATGATATGATATGATGAGACGTAATTCTGACATGATGCCTACCATGATGGATGTCAACCCATCAAAGATGGGCTACACAGGGGCTTCCTCTGCCATTTTTTCTTACCATTACTGTACCTTTTAACCTTTTATTCAGGTCATTTTATCAGATTAGAGAATTCAGTTCTCCTTTTTTTCTGGGTATCTTTTTGTTGTTTTTGTTTTCATCAGCTTGCCTATGAAGTTTCAGGTAAATCAACATGTGTCACACATGTTGATTTCCGAGTCTTCCAACCATAATTTTCAAATTTACCTATTCAGATTTAGTATACCCTTAAACATTTACCATCCATGTTTACATTGGAAAATTTATACACTAACATTACATGAAATCTAAGAGACATTATCCCTGATTTTCAAAGAGAATCGTCCAACAATACTTATCACTGCTTCAGTTTGCAGAGGTATCATATGCTTTACTTTCACTCTCCTATCAAGAGAAATTAGTCAGAAAAGGCAAGGTCAGGTACTCATGCAAGTCACATATACACTGACAACATAAGTTTTAGGATGTGCAGGTGATCTTTTGAGTGATAATTCTCTTAATGTGGTAGTCAGAGGGAAAAAGACATTTACATGCATGTACATTTGTACACACACCAAGTACATGTATACAGAGCTAAAAACTCACTCATGGTCATATGCATGTTCATACATACACACATACTGGTACCAGTACATATAAAGACATGCACAGGTGGAAACACTCACAGATACATAGACTCATAGACACAAGAACACAATTACGAGTGCACGCATGCACACATATTCTCTCTCTCTCTCTCTCTCTCTCTCTCTCTCTCTCTCTCTCTCTCTCTCTCTCTCTCTCTCTCTCTCTCTCTCTCTCTCTCTCTCTCTCTCTCTCTCTCTCTCTCTCTCTCTCTCTCTCTCTCTCTCTCTCTCTCTCTCTCTCTCACACACACACACACACACACACACACACACACACACACACACACACACACACACACAACACACACACACACACACACACACACATAGAATCTTACATATAAATATAAATACATATATTCAAGTAAGGGTGTAAGAGATTCCATAGACATATGGAAGTTATTTATAAATGCGTAAGAGTTTTAGATCAACTTTCTACCAGAGTAATTAGGTTAGCAAAACTACCTACAAATAAGTTTATTAAGGCATACAAAAACAAAGTTTATCCGTCTCTCACTAACCACTTACAACACAAGACTAACAACAGTAATGCAGAATACAAAATCTTTTTTAGTAAACAACAAAATATTGCCTTATCAATTCCTGAGATTAAGAAAGTAGAATAAATTAAACAGATAATCAATATGTTGAAATAAATAAAATCCTCGTACAAAAATATAACATTTAACTTAATATCTAAATAAAATATTGATAATTGACCATAGTCATTTATCACATATATACAATAGAAAAAGATTTTGATTTTGAAAAAGCAAAACAATAAATAATAATACCAAAAAGGAAGAGTAAACAAAGATAAATGAAAATAAATGAGACAGCCTTTGAACAACAAGGCTAAAGAAAAATTTGTACTCACTTAATCATAAATTTCTTGCACTCTCCCTCATGGTCGAGAGGAAAGCTGCCTTTCTGTGGCGGTGTGGGAGTAAATGACTTCTGACCAAAGGTCATTGAGGCCATTCTTCTTTGGGGTTGAGTGTGTTTACGACTCTGTGTCGATGATAAAGAGTATACAAAGACACATTATCAATCAAGCGAGAGAGAAAGAAAAAAACGTTAATGAAAACGGGAAAAATGTTCAGAGAGAGAGAAAATGAAAATTGGGTCAGAATTTGATTTTGGTGAAAATTGGAAGTCTTCTCAAAATCAACAGAACCTGATTCTAGAAGATACAAAAAAAGAAAACAAATCTGGTTTAGGAAAAGAAAAATTGTTCCATTGGATAATAAATCAATATGTGAAAATATAACATTTCTTCTAAGTATGGAATAATATATCATTACATACTTTAAGTAGGGAATACTTCTCTGCAAAAATCTTGAATTCAAAATCAAATATCAAGTCAATAATTTCTTTTGACTGCAGTAAAAAAAAAAAAAAAAAAAAAAAAA